CCTACTCCAACTCTAGAAAATCAAAGTCCCTACTCCAAACTATATGGCAAAACTCCAGATTACACTTCCCTTCGCACCTTTGGATGCACATGTTTTCCTCTACTTCGACCATATAACTCTCACAAGTTAATGTTCCGATCCAAAAGATGCATATTTTTGGGGTATAGTGCTAATCACCTCGGCTATAGATGCATGGATCCAGTAACTCAAAAAGTCATCATCTCCAGGCATGTGATATTTGATGAGAAATCATTCCCTGCAAAGAATGGACAGCAACCACCCGAACCTCTGCCGGTAGTCTCTTCCTCAGGTATACTCTTTCCCTCTCCTTCATTTGATTTGCATACACCCTCTAACCCTTTGCTTACCCCCTCTCCCTCTTCCAGTGCAGAATCCCCTTCACGCCCATCAATGATCCCCATACCCTATCCTAGTCGTACCCCTTTTGGGGACCAAAACTCACCTACACATGACAACCTCTCCACTTCCACCACTATAGATCACCCAACCGTCCCTTCTCCACTCTCAACTCTATCAGTTCCAGTGTCAATGATCCCATTCCCCATACATCTCAACCTCCTCATCATATGATCACCCGGTCCCGAACATGCTCACTAAAACCTCGTCAATTCTCTGACTATCACCTCTACTCCACCAAATATCCCTTGCATGCTTTTTCTAGTATTGCTTTGCCATCTGAACCCCGTACTTATCGACAAGCTGCTCTCTTAATCGAATGGTGTAGTGCAATGAAGGAGGAGTATGATGCTCTTATCGCCAATAATACTTGGACATTATGCCCTCGGCCCACAAATCACAATGTTGTGGGCAACAAATGGGTATATAAGACCAAACAAACCTCCACAGGTGAAGTTGAGCGTCTCAAAGCCAGGTTAGTAGCTTTAGGCTATAATCAGGAGGAAGGGGTTGACTTTACAGAAACATTCAGTCCCGTAATCAAATTGGCCACCGTTCGTGTTATTCTATCTATAGCTGTGCAATTTGATTGGTCTATCACCCAACTAGACGTATCTAATGCATTCCTTCATGGCATTCTTGAGGAGGAGGTGTTCATGGAACAACCCAAGGGATTTATCGATCCTACCCATCCAGACTATGTGTGCAAACTCCATAAATCCCGATATGGCCTAAAATAAGCACCAAGAGCTTGGTTCATGCGTCTCTCCACTACCCTTCTTGAGTTTGGTTTTGTGTCATCACCCGTAGACACGTCCCTGTTTGTCTATCATGCTGGAAATTGTTACATTTTCATTCTCATATATGTTGACGATATTCTTGTAACAAGAACAGATTCCCCATTGATCCAATCACTTATTAACATGCTACAAGTTGAATTTAAACTGAAGAATCTCGGACCTATTGGGTATTTTCTAGGCATTCAAGCTACACGAGACACTACAAGCTTATATCTTCGTCAATCCAAGTATATCTCAGACTTGCTCCATCGCACCAAGATGGTAGGTGTCAAACCTGCTCCCTCTCTGTGCGTTATGGGACAAAAGCTGTCCTCTAATATAGGCGAGCCACTCACTTCCGCACAAATCTTAGAATATCGTCAAACAGTAGGCGCTCTCCAGTATTGTACATTGACCAGGCCAGATATTGCATTTTCTGTAAACCAACTTTGTCAACACATGCACAATCCCAACTCTTCACATTGGACTGCAGCTAAACGAGTTCTTCGATACTTAAAGGGGACCATTGATGTCGGCTTATAGTATACAAAAGGTGACTATCATCTTCAGGCATTTTGTGACTCTGACTGGGCAAGGGATCCTGATGATCGTCGATCCACCACTGGCTATGTTATCTTCATTGGCTCTTCCCTTGTTTCCTGGTCTGCCAGAAGCAATCTGTAGTTGCCAGGTCCAGTACTGAGGTTGAATATAGGGCATTGGCAATGGCCACAGCTGAACTTTATTGGATTCGCATCCTACTCCAACTATTGCATTTTACTATCCCTCAAACCCTGTCTTTCATGCTAGAACTAAACACATCGAAGTCGACTTCCACTTCATTCGAGAGAAAATAGCAAACAAAGACATCTCTCTCCAGTTTCTCAGCTCCTCTGATCAGTTAGCAGATTTATTCACCAAAGGGCTTAGCTCCGACCGTTTTGCCATGCTGCGCTCCAAGCTAATGGTGCTTACACTCCCCATTAGCTTGCGGGGGAATGTTGGACAGATCAATACAGAATCCCAGCAAGAAACGAACTCTACATCAAAAGATAGGGATACACCAAACAAGATACAAGATATAGCTCCAGTAAGAAGTTAACTTTGCACCAACTTCCTACAATAGATAGGAATGTGTATTTGTAATCCAAATCAGAATCAAAATTGTAACCCAACTCAATCTCTGTAAATCTATTTAAACCATCAATATACTTCACTACGGGCAAGTAGGATAGCCTATTTTTTCCTCAGTCTACTGAGTATTTTCAATGTATACATCGACTACTTTAACATTTTGTATGTAACAAATATTATCTTACTTCAATGATAAGATGAACAAAGGATCGAAGGGTTAAATAGTTTGGGTTGTGAGAAATGGAGTTGGTACAACCCAATTGAAGTAACATACATAATTATATATATTATTACTACTTAATTCGTACAAATGCAAGTTTCGAATCAAATGCATACGTGAGACATAAAAGAGAGCATCATTTTATGTTGTCCAAAACGTAGTAAAATTATATTTTTTGTTGATAATTTAATCTTCATTGTCACATAAAATTTGGTAGAAAATGATGTGTACATGTAGAATCATTCAAACGTTCCAACATTTATAAACATTATCGATCAACAATTACAATCATAGTTACATTATTAATATTTAGGAGGAAAAAATTTATATTGGAATGAGCTAGACCATCTTGAATAATCAAATTAATAATGTATTTGTATGGTTCGGTAAACTGTATTTTTCATAATATATGCTAAATTTTGCAATGTATACACCGCTGTACATGTAATTGAGGGTTGATTTTAATCGACTATACAATTGTTATTTTCAAGTAGGGCGAATCATTCTATTTTACATACACGTCTCTCTCCTTTTAACTAGCATAGATAATATTTGAATAAAGAAAAGAAGATTTTCCGAAATTACTATGCTGTTTGAGCAGAGCCAAAACAAATGTAACATCATTAAATTTCCATAAAACTCAAATTAAGTAGTAATAAAACAAGCGTATGCCCCAGATCCAGAACATTCTCAATAGAAGTTGAAAATTTATTGCCTCATACGGCGTCGTGTAGTTCTCCCGGAGTTGCCGCGTATGACAGTGTCCGACCCCACAAACGAACAATATTACCTCGTTCACTTCGAATTTTGTCGCGGCACTGTAGTCAAACGGAGTTTCCTATTTGACGCCGGTGGTGCGGCGTTTACAAACCTACACCCTGCCTCAACCTCTTCTTCACCTACTATTTTTAGCTCTTTTCTCTAAGTGTAAAGAAATTCTCTCTCTCTCTCTCTCTCTCTCTCTCAGTCCTTTGTGCAATGAGTAAAATGTTGTTTGGCACTCGAATGCTGTTGGAGATTGCTTGAATAATCGGTGAGTTTAAGTTTTGCTGCATTGCTGATTCGGGCTATAATTATGGAGAATTCTACGGAATTTCGCATTCTTGCTGATAGTAACCGAAAAATGAAATTCTTATTAACATACAAATTGACATTGAATTTCTTCTTTTATGATGGTTAAGTCTAAACAAAGATTATTTAAGTCCTATTATTCTATAAAAAAGAAAAATTATTTGGAATCATAGTTTGTGATTATTCGAATATTACCTAAATAAAGTGGCCGTAAAAGTTTATGCAACAATGTAGCCTATCTATACTGTTAATGTGTCAATCCAGTTTCAAATTGATAAATTTTTCTCTGGTTATTTATTTATTTATTTTTCCAAATTTTATTCCTAGATTATCTGTTCTGGAAAATTTTATACAGATCAAAGGATGGTATAGGTGAATTAGGCACTTATCAAATATGCGGGATGGGGAGTGAAACTGTGGCAGAGAATTGGTTTGGTAATGTATGGAGAAGTTCGCGCAAGGGTAGATCATTGGATCCTAAGAAGCCTGTGATTGGAATTTTGGCATTTGAAGTCTCAAGGTTGATGTCGAAAGTGGTTAATATATGGCAGTGTCTTGGTCATCAGCAGATTGTTGGATTGAGAGAGGAGATTGTAAACTCAATTGGCATTCAAAAACTTGTTTCCCGAGATAATGACTATCTGATGGATCTTGTTCTTGCTGAGATAATTGAGAATCTGGTGAGTGTGGCGAAGTCTGTGGCTATTCTGGGGAAGAAGTGCGAAGACCCAATATACCACAATCTGGAACGAGTATTTGACGATCCAGGCGAGATAGATCCCAAATGGACATGTTTGCAGTATAGGCTCAAGAAGATGGAGAGGAAGGTTAAGAAAATGGAGAAGTTTGTCGTGTCTACGGAGCAATTGCATCGAGAGCTTGAAGTGTTGGCAGAGTTCGAGCAGAATCTGAGGCGAATGAGGGCTGGTGCTGGTGTGGGCAAAGTGAATTTATTTGAGTTTCAGCGGAAGGTAGTGTGGCAACGTCTGGAAGTGAAGAATCTTCGGGAGACATCTCCTTGGGTTAGAACGTATGATTATATTGTTCGGCTGCTTTTTAGATCCCTATTTACGATTGTGGAGAGGATCAAGCACCTATGTAGGATAAACCAGATCGGAAATGTTGAGGGTCATAATCAGTATGAGCACCCCCACAGTGATTTGCTTATACAGAATTCTGTCTTAGCTCGTATGCCATTATCAGTTTGTACATCTGAAAACAAGTTACATAGGTCATTTTTTGATCTGGGCTTCTCTGATGACAAGAGTAGATCAAGGAATAAGCAGTTGCCTGTTCTTTCCCTGTCATCCATCCATTCGGAGAAAAATACTCAAATGAAAGCCAGACGATTAGCTCTTGATGGTTTGGAAGGACAGATGATTGGTGGAAGTAATTCGCCTGTTAAAGGGAGCTACATACCTTCAAGCAATGACACTTTGGGGTCGAATGATACTTCTAAAAAAAACACTGATGACACCAAAGCAGTTCCAACTGGATACTGTTGCACAACTCCCACTAAACGCTCTTTCTTCAATTCCAAGAGGAAGCTGTTAAATGCCCCTACATCTACTATTGGTTACGCTGCTTTGGCTCTCCACTATGCAAATGTCATCCTAATAATTAAGAAGCTAGCTTCAGCTCTCGAATTGATCAGTCACGACCTAAGAGATGATCTTTACAATATGTTACCAACAAGTATCAGAAACCGTCTGAGAGAAAAGCTCAAGGTATTTTCCAAATCTTCGGGTTCATTGACTTATGATGCAGCCTTTGCAGAGGAGTGGAAGTTAGCAATGGCAAGGATGCTGGAATGGTTGTCTCCACTTGCTCTTAACACGATAAGATGGTATTCAGATCTGAACGTTGAAAGGCAGCGAGTGACTTTTGGGTCGAATGTGCTTCTTGTCCAGACCCTTCACTTTGCCAAGCAAGTAAAGACTGAAGCAGCAATCGTTGAACTTATCATGGGATTAAATTACCTCTCAAGATTTCGTAGAGAAATTGAAGAAAAAACCTCTGTGCAGTCTTCATTCAGTAGAGCATGTGATGGTTATATTTTACCCAAGGATAGTTTTTATTATAACATGATTGATGATACGTCATTACAGATTTCTCATGTGCCTTGCAGAATTTAATGAAGAGTTTATAGATTGGTTGCATAAATCTTGCGTTATATACTTCTCCTAAGACTTCAACTCCTAATGTCATTTGGTGAATCAAATTGAATGGTCTCGACATGTTTGATATGACTTCTTGTGAGTCTCGGACAACCTAGGACATGAACGAAACACAATGCGAATTCTGAAAAAAATAAATAAAAATAAAAATAAAAATCAACTTTGATGTTAGCATCGCATGCCTTTGCATGCATGCGGGTTTTAAACATCAATAAATTTTGAAAATGGAATCATGACACCGGAAAATGACTGAAGCATCCTTATAATTGTCTATAAATACACCATTGCATAATATAAGAACATCATTGGAATTCTAATCGGAAAACCTTGGGATTGAAATAACACCTCTCATAAAAAATTTCAGATTGAAAAAATTATCTGAGATCGAATATATAGGAGATTGAAAGAGTATCTCCAATCGAAAAATATCTCATATTGAAAAGAACGCCAAAATATCAATCTTTCTCATAAGTAGAAGTTTGGATTCAAAAAATATCAAAAATCCCCCAAAAGAGGGAAAGCCCTGCCGAAATTGAGAGAGAAATTACACCATTTATTTTAAAAAATAAAATATATTTTTGAGGTCAACATACAACATTAATTACCGAAGAATTAGTTAATTCATGGATCTTGTGTAATTAACAAAGAATCTTGTAGAAAATGTAGAAATAAAAACATCTGTTTTTTGATAATTAATAAGTTTGACCCCAATGTTGGACGTTTTTCTTTACTTACTCTTTGTGGGTTTGTAATAAAATTTGTGCTTTATTTTAAGGGTTATGCTACATGTACATTATGGTACACATAATGGTGTCCATAATGTATATGTGGCGCCCTCCTTTTGGGGGAAGAACCTGGCCCACAGGCACTTCCCCCAATAGGGGGCGCCACATATACATTATGGACACTATTATGTGTACCATAATGTACATGTAGCATAATCCAAATAAAAACAACAGTTTTCTTTGGTGTACATCAAGTTTGACATCATGGATGACATTGTGTGAGTTGACATTTTTTATATACTGATTTTAACAGCATTCTTTTCAATGAATGACCAAATTTTCAATAGTCACCAGTTCGAATCCCCACGGATCATTGATGCGAGTACTCGATCGTAAATTTCAGAGCCTCATGAGATTAGTTGAGGTGCGCTCAAGTTGATCCGAACACCCACGATTATAAAAGAAAAAATGACCAAATTTCCTATCCATTCGGGGAATGTTATCCAAAATGTCAAATAAGAATGTGCAAAATAAATTATTCCTAAAAACAACTAATAGAAATAATTACTAATTAGTAGAAGAAATATTTGAAAATAAAGGAAAAAACTGTGTAACAATTGCAAAATAATATTGCTGAGGAGATGAGAGCAATATATTAGTGAAATTGCAGATAAGACTGAAATGTGATGAAATTGATTTATCACTCATCCCTATCTCAAATTGAACATAAAATAAATGCAAATTTAAAGATTTAATGACATCGTGATTGATGCAGAGAGTCGTCAACATAGTTGACATGATTATAAAAAGCGACTATGCAAATTGCTCAATTAAAAGAATCGATGACGAGTGTAGAACTCGCGAGGTGGAACTCATCCGACTTACATCTTTAACTTTTATTGAATTATCAAAAATCTATATTACAAACATACAATCTATTAGTGCCATAAACGATTATAGAACATATGAGAAAAGTAATTTTAAGATCACTTTTAACCGTAGACTGGGTGGGACTGCGTGAGTTCCAAAGGAAGTCCAAAAAGCACCTAAAAATGCTTTTAAACACACTGACATTAGCATTATATCATACGCCTTATTGGTATTGCTTTCAATGGCAGTAATTTGCGAACAGTCACTCCGATTCTCTCTCTGGTGTCCATAATGTCATTCCTAGCAATCTCGTCAATCTCCCAATCAAATTCATGCAGTAATGATCCCAGTGCAAGATGCAGCATACGGTGGGCTAAAGGAATTCCTGCACAAATCCTTCGTCCAGCGCCAAATGGAATCAATTCAAAATGCTGCCCCTTGTAGTCAATTTTTGAGCCCAAAAATCTCTCTGGCTTGAATGTAGATGGCTCATCCCAGCACTCTGAATCCCTTCCAATTGCCCACGCATTTACAAAAACTTGAGTGTTTTTGGGAATGTGATACCCCATGAAATCGGTATCTTGAGTAGCCTTTCGAGGGACTAGGAACGGAATTGGAGGATGCAATCGGAGGGTTTCTTTCACAACAGCCTGTAAGTAGGGCAAATTGTCGATGTATTTCTCTTCGAATTTGTTGTTCTTTCCAATTACCTCTGCAAGTTCATTTTTAACCTTGACCATTGTTTCGGGATGGGATAGGAGCTCGACCATCACCCATTCGATGGTGCTGCTGGTGGTTTCTGAACCTGCTAAAAACACCTCCTGCAACCAACGGAAAACACGGTATGACATGGTAGTTTGTTTTGTACTGCATAATATGGTTTGTTCTTCATGAAAAGGAAAAATTTCCCGGATGATTTTATAGAATGCAAATTTCTCAATCAAATTCTAACAAGTTCGTAGGAGTAAGATATGAAATGTGCTTAATTCGTAAAAATTTGGCACAGGCATACCCAGAAGCTATTTTCGAATTAATTTGTTGTATCTGTTTTGCCCGGATAATTGTCCTCAATCGATCACATAACCAGAGACAACAAATATTTGCATGTCTAAATATGTGTGGAAAACAAAAGATTTTCTCTGAATCATAAAAAGAAGTCTTTCGAAGAATGTTACCATTATGATTATATTGAGGGCATGCTCTGATATTTTCTCCGGCTCATCCTTTCCATTTCCTTCAAACTGTAGCAAAACTTCCAGGAAGTCCTTTTTTTCTTTACCATCTTGCCGTTCTTTCAACCTCTCGCCAACAAATCCCCCAACAACTTTTAATGTTATTCCTTGATCACGATCCATCTTTCGTTTCAAACCTTGTGGATCGAGCCATTTGAGCCATGGGAACAAGTCAACGATGTTTGGATGGCCCGACCACTCCATTAGCCCCATCATAGCTGTGAAGAATTCTGACCCCTCTTCTGATTGTGGATCCACCAAGTCACGCGATAACATGAGGTTCCCCAGCATGTTGAACGAGGCCAGAAACACAAAGCGCGCCAAATGAACCCCCCCTGATTCTTTGGCTGAAGTGGATTCCTTTTCAATCCATTGGATCATATTATTTATGCATCTTTGCCGAATGGATACGGTTTCATTGATCCTTTTGTTGACCAACATTTCTACTGTCATTATGCGCTTCATTACACGCCAATATGGTCCATAAGGGGCTAGTGACAATGCTGCCTTATTGAAGCCCTTGGATTTCATGACCTCAGTGATTGTGCGTTCCACAAAGTTTATATCGTGGTTCTTGAAGAGCTCTGTGGCTGCCTTTGCGGTGAGCACTGCCATGGTGTTTATTGAGCCGATCCTGAACCAAACAACAGGACCGTACTCTTTCCTTAGGCTGGCTATGGTTTTATGTGGCATGGCACCAAGTTGGAACATGTTACCGAACACTGGCCATCCTGGGGGCCCAGGCGGCAGCTGCTTGGACTTGGATTTCATCCGCTGGCGGAGGAGGACCAGGGCTGGTGCCAAAATGACAATGCACCAAACAAGAAATCTCAATACCAAATCCATGTCTGGCAAAGTCTGTCAAGTTCTTGTTATTGAACCCCTTTTTATACTTTGGCTGTTTCGAAGTTTCACTAGTTATAAGATAGCCTACTGGGAAAACTTTTTAATATTTATATGCTAAAATTTGATATCGTGTTAGCTAACTTTGATGTTGCTATGAAATTTGTTTATTGTTAGTCAACTTCTGCTAGCCCTCTTTATTAATTAGCTGATTATGAAAAATTTGTCTGCATCCTAGAACTAAGCAGGGAATCCTACAAGAATCTATGCTCAGGGGACCCACCCTCCCTCTTTTTCTTTATTAACAATTTTTGGACTTTAGTTCTCTTACATAGTCCTTCCCCAGTCGTCCATGAGCTGCCTGCAATATTATAGATATTTAATAATTGGCATCAAACATTGAATTTCTTGAAAAGACCGCATGCAATTATTCGTTTAAATCCGCAATGTGTCCTGTCTTCATTAATATTTAACTACCCCATGCCATGTATTGGATGTTATTTGCATTATTCCACCAGCTTGTTAACTCTTGAATACGAATCTTTCAAGGGAATATGACAAATTGTGTGGTGAAAAACTCTCGCGTTAATTTTTTAACTCTACTTAAAAGTCAAGAGCATCTTTTGGAACTCCGTCATCATTAAATTGAGCGCGTTTTTGATCGGATATTTTTAGCTGATTTTGCTACTTCGTGAACAGTGCAATATAATTAGCCCACTAGTCAAGTCCGTCTCCAGCCTTTGATCAAGTAAAAGACGTGATGAAGCTAGTTTTCTATGAGTTCTGCTATACACACAGGGTCGGTGATCGACTAAAAAATAGGGGCGTGATGTGGCTTCCATTCGAGCGTTGATTTGGATGGCCCACAATTCAAATCAAGGGCCGAGGTGTCGTCACCTCGGCCCCCTATTTTTAGGTCGGTCACCGACCCTGTTTCTTTAGCCTTTTTGGCTTTCCATTAGTAACCAAGCTGTAGGAGCTCTCAGAAATCGATTTGAGTACCCCATCGTCAATGCTACCTTGTCGAGAAGTTGAGGAACGCCTTAAATATTTACCTAAACTTGTAAGTCTCGAGCATATTTTACGTGCACTCGAACTCCACCTTCGTCAAACCAGTTTCATATTCTAATATTTTAACTAAGAGATGCCGTGGTAGTCACGGGAATCTGGAATATTTGGACGGCCAGCCGAATCCATGATTCCCTTCACTTCATTCTGTGGCCTCTTTCGACTCTGAATTCATAAAATCACGGGACGAAATCTTATTCCCAAGCATGTTAAACAAATGTATAAACTACGTTAGTCAATTTCGTCAATCTCAATTAAAAAAATAAAATAAAAAACTATTTTTAGTGACTGGCTATAATTTAATGTTGCATTGACTAAAGTTTGTGTTGATATGAAAATTTAATGTTTATTTCGTGTTGATCACCTAGCTTCAATTTTATCACTCAACTTTCATTTTTGTTTCAATTTGATCATGATGCTTATATTTTTATTTCTATTTGATTGTTTCGTTTATAACTGTTGGCTTGCATTAAAATAGACAATCTATTTTTATGTACGAGTTATTTGTCACCATGAAAGACTTGCTCATTTTAAAACAAAACAATTGTATTTATTAGAGAGATGCTTCACGTACATGAAAGATTTCACAGGAAAAACTCGCAGAAGCTCACACATATGTGAGTCCCGCACAATTTTTTTTTAATACATGGTGGGTCTCACCATGTGAGTATTTTGGTAAGTCCCTGTGAAATGAATCCTGTACTTGAGGATTAACTAGTATTTATTAGCACAAAAAATAGAAAAGTCGTGTTGCGAAAAATATAAGTTTGGTAACCAATTGAATTGGACAAGTTACGAATTTGATCGTTTCTGTTAATAATTATAGAGTAAATGGACAAATTGAAACAAATATATATGTTGTGTGATCAATTTAAAACAATTTGAAGTTGGATGACCAACATAAAGCTACCTGTAAGTTTGATGACCTCCCGTGAAATTTCCCGGCCAAAATGTGTTTTGGCTGTACGTTAGTAACAAATAAAGGGAACCACTTGGAATCGTTTTTGTAGCCATTCAAAGATGTGATTTATATGCAGACTTCAATAACCAGGAAAATTAAGGCCGCATTTGATTTGTTATTTTCAAACTGTTTTTAATTTCTTAAATATCTCGTTTGATGCAATTTGTTTGTTTTGCATTACCCCACTTTTTTGTTGCCGTGTGTATTGAAGTAAGTAATAATCGGATATTTTTTTGTAATCTTCTTTTTCTACCTCTTATTTCGTTCGATTCAATTATTGATTTAGAAAAATGTGAATGGAAAGTTGTTTTGTTTGAGCTTTATTTGTTAAAAAAAAAAATGTACCTGGTCTGTTTTGGTCAATTTAAAAATAAAAATCTTGTTCAAAAAATTGTATTGTTCGATTTAAAAAAAAAAAAAAATCTTCATCTTCCACCTCTTATTCAGTTATTTTTTTCGATTCAGAAAAATGTACCCAGTTTCCTACTTGTTTTAGTTATTACTTGTTAGTTTGGTTGGTATCTTGTATAGTTGTTTTATTTGAGCTTACATTCCAATTCAGAATTTTATATTTCAATTCATGGCTTTGAGCTTATTAATTCAAAGTATTATACATTCCAATTTTACATTTCAGTTCAGAGTTCATACTTATTAACTTGAGCTTTAAATTCAGAGTTTTCTTTCTTTCTTTCTTTGTAATTTTTTATTTACATTCCAATTATTATTTATTATAGTCAGTCATGAAAATATTTTATAAAAGAAAAACTATTGAGGTTAAAAATGTTAATGAGGAGATGTCAAATAGAGACAATTTTGATGTTGCACAGCTTCCCATCTGGATTAAGGATTCCAATGGTCTACAAGATTTTGACTTTGACACTAATTCTTCAAGTTTCATTTTGAGTACAATATTTGTGTTATAATGAAGTTATTTTTTTACCTTTACTAATATCGCCTGCACTGAAGAAAAAAATTTGAGTCCGCCCTCGACGGTAACAAGTTATATATCTACATACCTTTTTAATGTAAATGGACAAATTCATTCTCTATAATCTATATAATAATTTTAGTGTTGTCATTTATTATTTAACAACTTTCCATATATTTCCTTCAAACTGTAGCATCATTTTGGACTATTTTAGCTTTAGAGCGCCTTAAATGCTTCTGAAGAGGGAAATCAACCCATGCCATGTGTTGACGTGACTAACCTTTCCATTTATTGCAGCTGTCCAATCAATGATTACAAGAAGATCTTTGGCACTTCAAGAACTTCAATTGTAGGTCATCATTTGTCACGGTTGAACCTCAAATTCTACATTATTGAGCCTCGATTTGAGGTATGGGCTTCAAAGCTTCGATTTGAACAAGTAATGCTTTAGCGTTGGAAATCTATCAATTGGTTCAGTACTTCCGCCTATCCTTGAGCCTCGACATTGAGGTGCTTTAGTAATATTAGGCTTCGGCAATAGTGCCTCAGGAGCACGTTGGGCTTCGGTAATAGTGCCTCAGGAGCACGTTGGGCTTCGGTAGTAGTGCCTCAGGAGCACGTTGGGCCTTAGCACAAATGGGCTTGGGATCTTTTCTTTACCTTTTGGGCCTTTGGCTAGTACTGGCGCAACAGCGGGTATACACGAAACTTTAACCCAAGCTCTCTTCTTTCTGACTCTTTTATAAATTCTCCCGATGTGGCTTATTCGCTTTCTTCACCCTTTTGCTTTCTTCTTCCCCACCTATCAGTAAGGGTGGGCGCGGGTCGGTTCGGTTCGGTTCGGTTCCCTTTTTTTCGGTTCCAGAAATTTTCGGGTATTTAGGGGTTGTTCTCTTTGTGTTTTAGTTTTGTGTTTTGAGTTTTGAATTCGTTTTGTGTTTTGTGTTTTGAGTGTTTGTTTTTAAAATTTCTGAAAATGCTTTCTGTTTGCCATTCTGAAAAACTGTTTTTGAAAACATGAAAATAGAAAACGCGTTTACTTTGAAATTTTGAGAATTTTTTTTAATAATATTTTATTCAAAAAAATTAATTATTCAATAAATTTTAATGATTTAATGTTAATATAATATTAAATAACATATAAATTTTGAAATTGGTGAAACTTCAAATGTTTTTTTTTTTCCAAATATTAAAAACACAACCAAAATTACATTTGACAAAACATTTTAATCGATACGATTTGAATTTTGAGGTTGATTCTTTTCATGTGTCAAACTTTATATGTCTATAATAATTCTACTCTTATCGTAACACAAGTTTTGCTAGCAGGAGAGCAGAGTACAATGTGAAACGATTGCTTGAATTGGTCTAAAAATGACTATTTACGATCATCATTAAGAGCACATTTTCAATTCACAAGTAAACTACTTTAAAAAAGAAAAAAGTGATGCCAAACTATCATCCTGGATCTTGTGAGATAAAAAAAATCTATGTATTGAAATAAACATTAAATTTGAGCTCAAAAGGATAAACTCCACAATAATAAAATGGATTTGAACAAATCCAAAATAATATTTAAACAATTTGATCAAAAGAGAAATACAAAAGAAATAGTACTTCAAAAATCAACACCAGAATCAACTGCAACACAACTTCTAACTCTAAACAATGACAACATAATATGAAACCATAATATGCTATCAACCTAGAGTATTAGGACTCGCAAAAGTCCAAGAGCTCTAGCAACGTGGCAATCAGTCATGCACCATCATACTCCCTTGGAAAATCTGATGTCCTACCATGACAACAACATGTTCAATTTACAAAAAATGGGAAAAGTTCAAGAAAAATTACCTCAGTTGAAGCTGATGTAATAATTACTAATAAAACAATACAGAGATAAAGCTGAAGCTATTAGTAAATCAAATAACATAACTAAAAGGGATGAGAAAGCCATTGCATTTAAGTATATATCTCAAGAGGTGATGCATTTATCCAGTTCAGGATTACATCCCTTGAATTTCTGGTGACTGCAAGCATGCACATTAACTTTACAACAAAATCTCACATAATGAAAAGCAACAAGAACCTTCATGAGATAGAATGATGTCAATAGTTAAACTATTATATCTCAGGCAGCCATGTTTGAAATCCAAAATCAGGATATGATTTTTCATTTTTCAAAAGCAACCCCTTTGTAAGTTAGCATGCACCTTGACTTTTGAAGTTGTTCATGGGGCATTAAAAGCAACCCCTTTGTAAGTTAGCATGCACCGTGACTGTTGAAGTTGTTCATGGGGCATCATGTGATGCTGGGATTAATCATCCAAACCAGAACTACATTGACAGCAAAAGGATCTTGGAATCAAACCAGTACTACATTGTTGCTGGGATTAGTCATGATTCATTTTTCATATTTCCAAACTAAGGATATACAGTTGAAGGGACTTGGTTTTATACTTTTATTGGTAGTCCTATTCTTTACATTTTATTTGCATTCTATTGATAGAAAAAATTTTCTTTTTGTAGAACAATTCCAAGAGTACATAAAGTCCATAAAGAGCAATTGGTTTAGTGTTGGATCAAGCACTAGAAAAATCCTTTCAATGATATAAATAATCCATGTTTAGCAACTCGGCAGATTCAACATATAGACAAATTCTTAAACTAGATGAACAGGAAAAGATGGCAGATTCAAAAAATAGAGGTGGTCGGGAGCCACTCTTGCAAAAAGATAATAAACTAGATGGACAGGAAAAGATAGAGAACCAACATCATAGGAAAATGACTCTTAAAAATGAAAAATAAAGAAATGTATACAAAAAAAAGATTAATATCAGTGTTTATTTTGATTCCTCTTCAATTAGCCATAAAGCAAATGAAAAGAAAACTGAAATGAAATTAAGCATAAGAGTGGCAACATGAAATGGTTATCTTCCAGACAAGGGGTACATATATATAAAATTCACCACATATCAGTTTGAAAGATATCATCGACATTGAAATAGATATCACCACAAATAGCTATCATCACTGATTGAGTGTAACCAAATATCAGTCTGAAAGATAATTGAAAGAGACTCCGAGACTCGGTTAGTTAACAATTTTTCTACGTAAGTCTAACATGAAAAATGTTTGTTAACCATCAACATCATGATCCTCTCCACAGCTTTCAGCCACATCTCAGTAGAGACAAAATCTGGTTCTACCATGGCAGACATAACATTGCTAATCCAACAATTACATTCAGAACAAATATATGTTCAATAGTCACAAACTTAACCAATTCACGTGTATGTTCATTTCTGACTCTTGTAGTTTCCCCACAAATTCAATACAACAATCCCATATTAACAATATAAGTTCTTTTTCTGGCAGCCCTATATGCCCGATTCAGGGATTTACATATCAAATAACATCGATTGTGTGAGCATTTTAAGGGCACATTCAAATAAATGTAGAAGCACAGTATTTATTTTTATCATTAAACGAACCTAAAAATTAAAGAGTAATTAATGAAGACATCACACAGATCTGATTGAAGAAGAGCAATTAATGAGGACAAGTCACAGAAAAATAGGTTAATTTTACCTTATTTTGAGGCTATGGGTAGGGGGCAAGATGAACGGGTCGCGCCACAGTTTTGACAGGCAGCGGAGGTAGAAGGGCGTCGGGAATTTCGAAGTCGACCGGCGTTGGAAATGTCTCTTGCAGAGGCTGGGAGGCGTGGGCTTAGGGGGTGAAAGGAAATTGAAGAAGGTAGGGGAACGGGAACAGTGAGAGTGTGGTTGAAAATGTGCATTTTCCGTGTTTTGTAAAAGCACCGTGTTTTGGACTGAAAACATTCAAAACGTGGTTTTCATTGTTTTCTGTACAATTTTTTTTTTGTTTTCAAAAATTCATTTTCAAAAATGACAAAGAGAACGCGTTTTTAATGTTTTGAAAAATTGAAAATCGAAAACAGTCTGAAAATAGCAAAGAGAACGGTGCCTTAGTAAATGGAACCGTCAGGTCCAAATATAATTTTGGAACCGTTCGGTTTCGGTTCGGTTCGATTCTGTTCGTTTCCGTACTATAATTAAATTTTTTAACATTTAAAATAATACTACATAAATACACCTGAAAGTGGATACCAATATTAATAACAAAAAGTAAATACAAATACCAAATTTAATCTTAACTTTTACAAATTAACGTAATCTAATTTAATAACATATAAATAATAAGTTGTCAAATACAAATACCAAAAAGTAAATATTACTAATAAAATTTCGATACATATCAATAATTCATTTGTTTCAAACTTTCAAGTCTATATAAAAGTGAAATATAAATTAGAAGTCACAAAGATAAAATATTTTAAAGTATTGATAATACTTACCAACTATTTAATGTAATCATCAGTTGGTTGACTTTCCATACTAACTACTAAGAAAGTATACAAGAAAAAATTGAAAAAACACAACTAACAAACATAAATAAACTCTAAATTGTTCAACTAATAAGATTTAATAAGAAAAAAATTATTAATTTGTTTTGAAAAAATAAAAGAAATTGATTTATCCAATTTTAAAAAAAAATTCGGTTCTTATTCGATTCTTCAGTCCTTGGTCGAGAACCGAACCAAACCATTCGGTTCTCGATTTGAATACCCGTTCGGGTATTTCATTTTAAAAAATCCGCTCGATTCGGTTCGGTTCCGGTTCGGTTTGGACATTTTGCCCAGCCCTACCTATCAAGCTTGGGCTATGCTAAGGAATATAACATGAGGTTTTTAACTACACTTCTTTCGATACAATCACAATTTACAATTCAAGTTGCTGAACAGCCAGCAAATTTGGTTCTCTTTGTGCATTTTACTTAGATAATTCTTCTGTATCAATGGCTATAGGTTGGTATAGATTAATGAAGTCAATTACAGTTAGCATTTATGGCTGCTTCTTGGTATTTGGCATATAGGTGGTGTTTGTGAGATCAATTTGGTGTCGAGGTTTTTTCTCCCTTTGACAGAATAACCCTAACGATTAATGAAAATTGACACAAGTTCAAGCACATTTCGTAGAGTTGAGGATTGATCTTGGACTTAGGCCTTAATGTAAATATAGAGGCGCCGAAGATGGGAATGAGGGTCGGGAGGCTTGTGGTTAAAGAGGTCGAAATGGCTAAGATATGATTCGTCCATGATCATAATGGAGGTGGAACCCAACGTGAACCTCAGGGCAAAAGCTCCGAACTTTAGGAGTTTGATCTTGTTATGTTTTAATAGTTTATGATGTAATTTGAAAGTCTGTGAACAAAAAGGACAAAATTGGATAGGTTATAAAAGTCAAGGAGTAGGTTGTAATTTTCGTATTTGAGTTGTATAGGTTATTGAGTTCGAGCTTCAAAAGAGGACAAAAGACTGCACCGCAATTTAGCTAAACTATCGCCATGATTTGGCTCAAGCGGCAGAAACAAAATCATTTTCGTTAGACTATCGTCGGGTCCTCGCTCGAGTGACAAGCTGTCGCTAAACTCTCGCTCGAGCGACAGAGTTAGCCGAAATTTTTTTAATCGCGATTTCAAGGCTTTTATTCGGCCCATTCAACCCCAACCCTATCATATAAATACCAGAACGCCACAGAACGTAAATTCTAAGGTTGAAACATAGAGAGAACGTGAGAACTTCATCTTCCAATTCATTGAGAGACTTTAACCTTCATTGATTTGATTATACTTGGCGGAGAAAACATCAGTTCCAGTTAATCCAAATACCAAGCTCATTGAAGAACACTAAGTTTTTCAAGAATCCATATGAGATAGATGAATCCACAAAGCTAGAGATTAGAGAATCTAGAAGGGCTTAGATGTTGTAGTCAAGGAGTTGGTGCTGGAACACACAATCCCGGAGGGCTGTCAGAATTTCAATTAGGAGTTGTTGCGAGCCACACAATCCAGGAGGACTGTATTAACTTCGGTCAAGAGGTTAGAAAGCTTGTGTCGTCGTCTTGTCTGACAGACTGTAAATTTGATCATTTGTAGTGGATTTTGACTGACAAAGTGTTTGGAGTTTTTACTCAGTTGGGGTTTCTCCGTGAATATTCCGCGTGTTTTTTACTGCTTTATTTACTGTTTTCATATTCTGTAGTATTCAAATATATGGTAAATGGACTGTGGGCTTAACCAACTAGAAATAATTAATTAGTAACTTGTTGTTGGTTAATTACAATTTTTATTTTCGCATTTACACCTATTCACCCCCTCTAGGTGTAATTTGAGTCGAATTGCGTATAATTCAGATCTCGTAAGCTACAACTTAATTATCAAATTCACCAAATGAGTTCAAAACCATGTTCAACACAATTTAATCACGCACTCGTCCATTTAAATTGTATCTTTAACACGCTCTTTCATGTGAAAGAACAAATTCATTTTTTTATTAGATGTCAAACACATGCACAATATTGAAAACTGAGTGAAGATGAGACGTCAACTTGCATGGCTTTGGTAATTGGAATCATCTTAATTAGCATCTCAAACTTAAATTCAAGTATTAATTTAAATTTTATCTTCAACAATTTATCGATTCACGTGATATTATTGATAGAAAGTAAATCATAACCTCAAATTATGTTATTCAAGATCTAGAGTTTGTGATAGAAGTTATCCCACATGTCTTTAGCCTATTTTTCGTTGATATCCCACGATGATGAATCTTTTGCTCGTAAAGTTACATTTTACTTTTGAGTTGATTAACAGTACTTATAATCACATGATCCGTGTTTCCTTCACAAACTTTTAAATGATTAGATATCCAATCTTTTTGGAAACAAAAGGAAATGTTCTTTTTTCCAGATGTCACACGAACTTTTGAAATTTCGGATAATGACGCACAGTATTTTTTAATGAGTAATGCTAGATGTGCACTTTTGTGTACATCTAGTTTGACACTCCCTACACATAGAGGGTGGGCCCGTAATTTTAAAAATCATGGGCCCTGCCTCCCATGTAAGGGGAGTGTCAAACTTGTTGTACGCAAAAGTGTACAACAAGAATTATCCTATTTTAACTCATGTCAGAATGGATTGCCTGTATCATTTAAAGCTTCTTTCCGACAAGATTTTCGCATGGAGATCTAATTTACATTTTTTTTATATAATCAAAGATACACGCGCGAGGTTGCGTTACATTTAAAGGATTCAATTTATCCTTAAGTAGCCATCTTTGTATGCTTGACGTACAAATATTTGACACGTGCACAATTTTGCATATGCGGAGTGGGACAACAAGCATAGAAATTTGTCTACGTTGAACCATTAGAGAGTTACTTTTTCTTGTTTCACATTTAATCTTCAATATCACATATACTTATTTTAAAACGTTACAAAGACAAACTTATTTATTTAAATTAATTTTTCAAGAAACTCTAATAATCTTTGAATTGAAATTTAATCCCCCATTAATACAATTAACTAATTATATTTTCATCCCTTATACGGAACTGGCATTGCCTTCAATGGAATAGCTTTTCTCAAAGTTATCCCCATTCTTTCACTCATATCCATTTCCTCTGCTTTCAGTCTATTGGCCAAAACCCAATCAAATGAATGCAAAACCGAGCCCAAAGCCAAGGGCAGCACCCGAGCTACCAACGGCACCGCTGGGCACATACGCCGGCCAGATCCGAATGGTATAAACTCAAAATGATGCCCTTTGTAATCCACCATATTTGGATCCAAAAACCGTTCGGGTTTAAATTCCAACGGGTCTTTCCAAGTTTTCGGATCCCTCCCGATGGCCCAGACATTTACAAGAATTTGGGTTTCTTTGGGAATAAAATAGCCAAACATTCTGCATGAGTCCATAGCCATATGAGGGACTAAGAAAGGGAGAGGTGGGTGTAACCTTAACGTCTCCTTGATGACGGCGTTAAGGTATGGGAGCTTATTAAGGTTTTCTTCTTCAAGCTTCTCTCCGTTGTCAGTTAGGGTTCTTAGCTCAGCCTGAATTTTTTGAAGCGCGGCGGGGTTGTGGAGGAGCTCCGCCATTGCCCACTCTAGTGTACTGGTGGTGGTGTCGGTTCCTGCGGTGAACATCTCCTGAAAATCAGAAAAAAGAAAGTAAAAAGATTAAGCAACAAGAAAAGTCAATTTACATCAATTCTTTAACTAAACATAGAATTAAGATACACTTGTGCATGAAGCTTTTATTAAGCACCCACCACATGCTTACGTAGCTGTTGCCTTCCCCTAGTGCATACTTAAAAGTTTGTTTCATGTTGGTCACATACTTAATGGGTTGCATGCTCAATTATACATTCTATATAAGAAGTTACGAGTGTAGGTCACATAACTTAAAAGTTTGTTTCATGTTGGTCACTCATCTTCGGACGTTTCAATTTTATCACTCAATTTATTTTGATTTCAATTTACCATTAGCAATATTAACAGAATTCGTGACCTAACCAATACAGTTTTGTGACTTGTTAAAAGAGATCACACTTAAAAGCAGAAAAATACTTACAAAGACGATAACGTTTATGGTTCTAGAACCAAATGTATAAGGATCTTTTGTACCATCTCCTCGATATTCCAAAAGCACGTCTAAGTAATCTCTTATCTTCTTTGGAATACAATCATTCTCCATGGTTCCCAACCTTTCTCGAAGGAATTCTCCAACAACATCAAAAGCGTGATTAACATGAAATTGCGTCTTTCTTCTTATTCCTTGTGGATCAAGCCATCTTAGAATTGGGAAGAAATCTGCAACGTTTGCCTTCCCTGCAAACTCCATAACCTTCCCTGCATGGAAAAAGAATTCGGATCCTCTTTCGGATTTCGGATCCAAAAGGTCCTTTGAAAATATGAGGTTGCCCATAAGATTAAAAGTCATCAAGAAAAAGAATCTCCTGATATCAATAGCAGTAGTACCCGACCCACCCGATTCGTGTATAAATTGTACCATTTGATCAATACAACGTCTTCGAACAACTCGCATGGCATCGAGTCGACTTGTTGTAAAGAACTCGGCGGTGCACAACCGTCGTAGCATCCGCCAGTGTTGACCATATTGGGCCGTTATTAGTGAGCCCTCATTGCCATAATCTCCTTTCATGGCTTCATATATTTTCCTTCCCGCCAAAACTACGTCGTGATTCTTGAACATTACACGCGCCGCCTCATTTGATGAAATCACCACCGTGTTCATTGACCCCAGCCAGATTGTCATTACCGGGCCATGCTTCTTAGCCAACTTAACAAATGACTCATGAGGTGCCACCAAACCAAGTTGAAAAATATTACCGACCGCCGGCCACCGCGTCGGTCCTGGCGGCGACCGTCCCACCTCTTTCAACTGTCGATAGTGCCCGCGCGCGGTTGTAATTATCCACACAATCAATAATAGTAAGGCTATAACCAGGCTCCCGATATCATTGTCCATCTTTGGACAAAATGGTTGTTGATTACACGTGAATATGTGGAGTTTCAGAAAATTTAAGAATTATATGTAAAAATCTACGAACTTGAACCTCAGTTAACCCAAATTCTCTGAGTGATCATTAACGAGAGTAAATGTATTACCTGAGGGTGGTTTTTATTAAGGAGATGAAATGAAATCCCAGTAACTCAGTAAGCATATATAAAAGAGGAGAACGGTCCAATATTACATTTTGCAGTTGATGGTCATATAACATGGAAAAATGTTTTCATAACTTATGTTGGAAGGTTTTCCAACTAAGATTCCGTCCTTCAAAACTGAACCACCCTCACCTTCCTCGGAGAATGGATTCGTATAAAAAAAATGAAATCAGAAGAAAAATAATTTTGTCTTTTGCGTCCATTCTTTCAGAGACTTGGTCAGTTGGTATATAATTGAAAATTAGATTTTTATTAAATCTTAATAAAAGTTTATAAAGATTACAATCGAAAAGTTGATAAAAATTATGGATATCATAAAATATAAGATTAAAATCAAATATTTGACTTTGGCTTAAATTTTTAACGAACTTTTAGAATTAAGCTAGATGTACATTCTAAATTACATTCTAATTTTTATCCACACATTCTCCATCAAAATACTATTTCAAAATGCATTTTAAACAGAAAAAAACTTAATAATAATAAAAAGAAGCTCTTCGTAATAGTGTATATATTGAACTAGTACAAAAAATCTACTCTTTATTTTTAATTATTCTTGAAAATACTTGTAATAATAAAAAGATGCTCTTCAAAATAAAATAAAAATAAAAACATCGTTGAGAATTCTCTTAGATTAGTTAAATTTATTTATATTTCTCTTCAAGAAGTATGCCCCTTCGAAGTTTTGCATTTTTTTACTTTGAGTAATTGCTAATGCTTCACTCTATTTGATTTGGCTAAAAATCAGTTTTTTAGTAGATTTTAATAAATATTGATGAAATGTGTGATTGAAAAATTAATAAAAATTGTGAATTTCATAAAATGTGTGATAAAAAATAAATTTTAAGATTTTAGAACCAAACTTGGGCTCGATAAATAACTGATCATGCAATGGTTCATTCATACATGTTACAATCACGTGAGAATTGCTTTCAGTATACACTTTAATTTAAATATATTATATATGCAAGATTTTGGAAACATAAACAAACACTTGTTCACCCAAAATATCACATGGACTCTTGAAAATTGGGGGGAGTGGAAGTGTATATTGTATTCATATTGAATTCATTAAATTTTGTTATCTATTTCGTTCAGAAAAAAATCATGCCTTTAGAGATGGACCTCATGCATCTCTTCGATATATGAAAGTGACAAAGTGGGAGAAACAATTTTGAACAGCCCTAAAAAAAAAAGAGTTTTAATTAAAGAATCATACAGTTTACAATTCAAGTAGTTGAGCATCCAGCAAATTTGGTTCTGTGTGCATTTTACTTAGATAATTCTCCTGTATCAATGGCTACAGGATGGTATAGATTAATGAAGTCAATTACAGCTAGCATTTATGGCTGCTTCTTGGTATTTGGCATATATGTGGGGTTTGTGAGATCAATCGAGTGTCAAGGT